AGATCATCGGGGGAAAATTAAGTGGTAACGATGTGAGCATCGTTTTGCACTTCTAGTTATCGATATTCAGTCTAACGAAATATTATACGTAAAACAAACCTTCCTCATTTTTTGTTTGTTTTACACATGGTGGTAAATGTCTTGTCTTAGAAACGCTCTTACGAATAGAGTTGACAGATAATTCGAAGAAGATGAAGTGGTACCGTCATGAGTGAGCAATATGAAAACCCTTACCACCATAGTACTGCCATCCAGACTCAGAGGAGCCATCACTGTTAGAGTCGAAGGCTGCAGAGTGTAGTCTACACTTTCTGGTGAGAGGGTTGTACAAGACTAGGTTACACAGCATCCGCCATTGACACTCAGAGAAACACTCAGCCCTCATGTCCACCTGGTTCATCTCTTCTACAAGACCTCCAGTAAACACCAGATCATCCATCTCAGACCTTCTGTGGAATGTCACATTGGTGCAAGTGTCCATATTGTACACCAACTGACTTAAACCACTGGAAACATGAGAGACGCAGAACAGAACGTAAACAGTTAACAGTGACATCTTGGTGTACATGACGCTCAGATCTACCTCGCTGTTCATCGGAATGACGCATTTCTCAGGCACACCGCCCTCATGTGGATCAAACTACCCATTTGCAATAAGAATGGTCTTATATAAAGGTCTAAATGGATATACGTGGTTTCCATGGTAACATGTATTTGAATGTCCCTTTGATTTGGTCCATCTCTCAACTATAACACTGTAATATATCATTATAGAAAAAAAAGGATTAGTGAGGCCGAATCTCAAAAAGATGTTTTCGGACGTGTGTTTCAAAAGGGTTTTCGACTACATCATGTATTTTTAAGTGCGTTGAAACAAAGCTCCCTAATTGGACTTATTATCCATTCTTTACATGGATACGAGTTCTCAGCAACAACAGTCTCCAAACAAGAAATCGGCAGTTCCAGTGCAGTTACTCGATTCATGATGAAGAAATGTATCGGAGTAACGGGAATCGTTACTGGCGACGTCAAAAACTTTAAACGACGTTAAACAACATGAGCTGTGCTTCATATGCAGGCTTTCCCGTGTCTGTTCATAGCTGATACAATAATTGCCAACACCAGTATGAATTGGGTGGGTCGTCTCGTTTTTAATGTCAGGCTTTCTCCAACCCGTGAAGGACCGTGTTAGAATGACCCTTCTGTAACCCGTAGTTGTCGTAAGAGGCGACTAACGGGATCGGGTGGTCAGGCTCACTGACTTGGTTGACACGTGTCATCGGCTCCCATTTGCGCAGATCGATGCTGATGCTGTTGATCACTGGATTGTCTGGTCCAAACTCGATTATTTACATACCACCGCCATATAGCTGGAATATTGCTGAGTGCGGCGTAAAACTAAACTCACACACTCACTCGCAGATTTATCTCTTCCTATCAGAGAGGGTTCCATGGTGATCTACCTTCAGTTGTTGGCGATTACTTGCCCATTTATACATTGTATTGTCCAAAAATAGTTTTCTACTTTTAAAGATATAAGCTAGTTAGTTTTATCTCACTTTGTGATAATCTAGTAATTTTACTGTCCTTCGTTGACAGGGTTTTATATATTATATGTATGTATTATGAATTTAGAACTAGTTTTGAGATATTGCCGATGTGACTTTAAGTTTAACTCACTCACTCAGTCAGTGCCGGTTCCAGGTCCTAAAAGCAGTTATAGACAACATGTGTGAAGGCCAAGTCCATAAGGCTCGTTATTGTGCACTTTCATACCGGACTAGTCTGAGTTCGTCAAATATTTATGCCATATTGATATTTGTTTTAGTTTAAATTAACATAATTAACTTTGTCTCTCATGACAAAGGCAGTATAATTTATACCGATACCATATGATCGTTTGTTACACAACTTTTCCCCTTCTTCATGAAAATATCTGATATTATGGTGACGAGTTGGAAGGGACAATGGACTTTCGTACCATTTAAGACGATTTGTTGCTCGTGAATGTATACTGAACCACAAAAGAAATGTCGCCCCTATAGTTGTTTTTAAAGCACACACTTTATTTCACTCTAATAAACGATCAAAACCGTGGATTGAGTTCAAACTTGACGAGTATGGTTAACACATTTTCGGCAATCGCATTTAGAGTTCGCACAAACAAAATCACCAAAAATGGTACCATTAAGATATCTCAAAGTCAGTATTGTGTGTGGCCTCTATGGGCATCCATAAATGCGTTGCATTGTCTGTACATGTATACCAACGTCTTCTGCAATTCCACACATTCGTATACCATGGTTTAATAATGAAAGAGTTGGAATAAAGCAGAAAAATATCATTCGCCGACATCCTACAGTCCATAATTTAGCTAAAGTAAACATTGTAAATGCCAAGACTCGACGCGTATTTTAGAAAGAAAAAGTGTCAATCTCGGAGAAACTATGTTTCCAAGATAATTGCACGCACCCCTATTTCAAAGGTGGGGAACATGATTCAAAGAATAAAGGGAAAGGTTCCAAATCTAATCTGGTAAAATGGTGGCCAATTTAGCAGCAAAGGCAGCACTCAACAAATCTGCGACACCACTTCTGATCCCATACACCGATTATACAACTGTCATTAGAACTTACATCCGTGATCTAATGCAGAAGAAGTGCGAAGGCCAAGTAGGTATAAATAAATTACATGCAATAAAACCTTATATTTGCTACACTTACTTGGGTTGTCAGTCCAGATTTGGAGAGGCCATCATGCGACGACGCCGCATTGGCCACAGCAGGTATACTCATAAGTATTTGTTAAAAGGTGAGGTTCCTCCATTTTGCATCCCTTGTGATTAGAGAATCACGGTCAATATAGATTTTTCCATCATAAGGGATAAATAGTTCAGTGTCAAAACATTGAAGAGTAGTTCATATAATGTTAATTATCACTAATCATTGAATTTTTGAACGAAATAGAATAAGTTGATGAACAGATATACAGATCTATATTTTATTATGGGTAGTTTAAATTAGCAGCTTTGATTCTGAGTGACTGTATCCTCACAGGGGGTTGAAGTATTGTAAAATTATTGGCCTTTGTTGGGATACGTAAGTCCCAAAACATTCAAGGTAAATTTTAAACGTAGTATTTTTGTAATTTTAAATTATGGCTAGATTTGACTACAAACGCCAGTGGCAGAAGGGATGGTGTAAATCCAGCTAGGGTCAATTAGGGGAAAGGAAAGGCACTGTAAGCCCCCATGGTCCCTTGTATGGTGACCTACCTTCAGTTGCTGGCGATCTATAGCCCAATTTTATGTTGTAATGACCTAAATAGTTTTTTATTAATTTTAAGTTTCATGCTAGTTTTAAATCTGTAACTGCGACATACTAGTTGTTTTACTGTCCTTTGGCAACAGATTGTTTCAAATAAGATTATGAAGTATTTACTGTTTTAGTCACGATAAGGCTGAAATATTGCAAACATGACTTTTCATTTTAACTCACTCACTCAATGAACTATGGAAGTTAAAGTACGAGGACGTTCGATCATTGGAACAGTGTCAATGTACACAGCCAGAGATGTGCACAAAGCACGCGATCAAGACTTCAACTTATCAGACAAACATGCAAAATAACATTTATTAAAAATATCTATTCATTTAGATTAATTGTCAATATTGGCAGCCATTATGTTATGGTAATATTTGGTCATTATACTCAGTGTCATTGTCATCGGTTTGCTATTCATGTAAATAGTTGAAGCCGTTAACGTTGTTTGCAAGAGAAGACATATTAATTGTTCATTATTCTCGCATCGTGAATGCTGTGTGTTTTTGTGTCACAGATGGACTCACTGGGGAATCAATACATGCAAACAATACATGCATTCACGTACTGAAATCTGGCAATGTCTTACAAGATATCTTTCCAAATATTGTTTGAGACAATCAGTGAACAATTTCCCATACTGACGACCCGGTCTTAGAATACGCCCATTGACATGGTATTTACGAAGCACGGAATCTTTAGTACATCGCAAATATTTCATGTTAGCAAAGGCCAGTAGAATGAGGAATTGTTATAAACGTGTTAGTTGTTCCCAGAAAGTGTGAGTGAGTGAGATTAGTTCAACGCTGCTTTTAGCAATTTCCCAGCATCACCACGGCGGGGGACACCAGTAATGGGCTATAAACATTTTGCCCATGTGGGTAATCGAACTCGCAAACTTGCCCAAACTTGAGCTGGACTTGGAAAAAGGCTTGTTTTGTGGAACGAAGAAGGGTAGGACATCATCGCTGAACAGTATGGCAGCATTTGTGCAGCAATCACTTTAAATGTGCGTGTTTGTCACTATACCTGTAGACAGGTGTGACAGTGGACACTCCCATGGCTGACCGGTCGTGTGCCTCCTCACCTTGCCTCACTAAATACCTTATCATTTAAATAACCCCGCGATGTCCTCCAGATCAGCTGCCCCACGAAAACTGTTAGAACCTTCACTGCAGTCAAACGACAGTGTCATCATGGTTTTCGTTCTTCATACCTTGCCACGGGATCAGGTTATAAGTCAACATAATACGTTGACGTATAACCTGATCCCGTTGCCATATTATGGCGAAATCCGTCGTTGCGTACAGTGACCTTTGGACAGGATCTAGCACAGATTTATCTGACCCGTGAAGGTGCGGGTTAGAATAATGATCTTCAGTAACCCATGCTTATCGTAAGAGGCGACTAACGGGATAGGGTGGTCAGGCTCGCTGACTTGGTTGACACATGTCTTCGGTTGCCAGTTGCGTAGATCGATACTCGTTATGCTGATCATTGGATTGTCTGACCCAGACTCGTTTATTTACATACCGCCGGGATGCAGCTGGAATATTGTCGAGTGCGGCGTTAAACAACAAACAAACTTGTAGCCATCAAGAAGCAGAAGTTTCAATGAACACACGTGTCATCTTCACGTGCTGAAACATGACATTCTACATAGTAAACTCACAAGGAGGCTGATAATTCAACGGTTTATTGCATATATCAAAGACGAAGACGGATCACAGATAGACTTGATGCTTGAAATACAGCGGAGCGGACGGAAACAGTTCTGGGCGGGATTCAGCCTGACTGTAGATGCATGAGTTGAGTAAGGACGTGTGGATATGTTGATGAAATAATAGATGTATACTTGTGTGTTCTGTATGTGGCCTGTCATTAAAACATTAATATTATATAATATAAAGCTTAAGATGCACATACAAGGTGTCCCAGCTTGGACCCAGTACATTTCAGTTTAAGTAAATACATGTATATACACACAGCTGCCAACCTGTACATTAAAATGCTACAAGATTACAATAATGTTCATACAGTCTGATAAAAAAACATCAACCCTCCAGTTTATCCAAATACAGTATTTGAAAATACAGATACACGTTATACGGGCTGTGTATCAAAACAGATAGCCTCAGATTTACACTGAATACATAATTAACAATAACAGCAATGCCACTCATAATAATTTTGCTCCTAGGAATGTGTTCGGGTAGCATTAAATTGGAATTACTGCATTTCCGTCAGTGCAGTGGCAGGAACGGTAATTGAGTTGATTGTACGCCCCTTGTATTTTCATGATGGGCGGCGATCTGTACAAACATTTAAATAAAATAAATAAATACTGATTTATTGGAGATACATACATGTTCCGTGATATATACGGAATGAACTTTGGGGTCAACACAAAATTATATAGTAAGGACTGACTTTATTTAAGTATCTATGGTATGTTCAAATGTCATAATCCCTATGTTTTGGTCAGTACATAAAAGTAGGTATCACAGGTTCGGTATCGCTATACGTGGGATAAACCAAACGAGTTACAAGGCACATGGACAGAGAATATTGCTTCATTTTTCAATATCAAACTGTAGGTTGCTATTGTATGTTGCTGTACTCTAAGTTCATGATGTCAGGGGGGCGGTGGGGTAGCCTAGTGGATAAAGCGTTGGCTCGTCACGCCGAGGATCCGGGTTCGATTCCCCACATGGGCACAATGTGTAAAGCCCATTTCTGGTGTCCCCCCGCCGTGATATTGCTGGAATATTGCTAAAAGCGGCGTAAAACTAAACTCAGTCAGTCATGACGTCAGGTAATATTCAGCTACATATAAATATGATATCTACTGGACGTTAACTCTGTACATTAGTGTGACTGTTGGTAGTTACGTAAGGAAGCAGTAAGTTAATATATTGAAAGTGTACATCAGCAGGTCGGCTAAACAGGATGTGTTGACAATATCGACGTACATGCTGCAGAAATGACATCAACAAAATATTAATATGTATAAATTTGTGTCTGTCACAATGATGTCCAATTTGTCATTCCTCATTCCTCCGTGAACGGTCTGTGATTGGTTCTCCCTACTGCCTGGACGTCCATATTGCATTATGAGGTCACGGAGCTGACCAATCAGCGGCTTTCTATCCGTCGTTCCCGGTACTCCCTCTGGCGGGTGCGGATCTGGTCTGACAGGTCCCCTCTTCCGCTCTTACTGAGGGCAGTGGACAATATGGCTACCTGTTGATGGAAACGACAAGTATATGAGTTCGTGGGTGAATAAACACGTTGTCTTTTCTGATATTTACTAGATAGGGCAATCTTGATCGGTCTCTTTCTTGTTTTTGGTCCATAATTTACAAACGCTATTAACAACAAGGGTGTTTTATCATTACAACTATTTAAAGAGATAAAAGAGTCAATATATTTGACACTCTCCGTCGAAAAGGAGGACATTAAAAGACAATGCTGTGTCATCCAGTTTAAAATCTATGGTTAGACGAGCAGACCGGTCACGTGAAGGCGAAACAGTTTATTAGTGTATGTCATTCATGTTTGCCTAAAAGAACAGAAGCGAAGCTGCTGATCATTTAGAATCTGTAATCTTTAACTTGGTGTTTTATTTGGAGTAGTCAGGGTGTCCTTGCTACGACCAATCCCAGAGAACAAAGTGCACAATTGCACACATCAAACTTTGATGTTGTGAGAACATCGTCACAAGACTGTTCAAAGCGGGCATAAAATATCACGTTCCATTGATCCGCTGAAGCTCACCTTATCACACGACTTTGGCGCTCTCTTCAGCCACGTCATCAACATATCGAACTTGGCATCCTCATCTGACCTCTCCCCCAGCTGCATGTTGCGCAGTATGGCCTGGAGCCGCACGCGCTGCACGTTGAGATAGTGCGCCACCTTCCTCCACTCCTCGCCCAGCTCCGCCGCCAGGCTGTGCATGTAGTCCTCGTTCACCGGGTCCCGTGTGTTGTGGATTGTTATTGGAGCCTTGACAGGCACGGAACTCGGCTCGATATGGTACTGAAATGTGGATTTGACTTTTTTCTAAATTCATGAACTTGACAACTTCTAATATTGTCACGTGCAGAAACTATCAGTATTTTGCATCGCTAACCATCCGTCTTGTATTAGGGACCGTTAATAATTTACGGCTTGGGGAAAGTGGAGTTGGGGTGTTGATGATATTTATGGAGGAGCAAGAACAATTTGAATGCCCCCTTCCCCCGAAACTGACTGACTGACAGACTGAGTTTAGTTTTACGCCGCTTTTAGCAATATTCCAGCAACATCACGGCGGGGGGCACCAGAAATGGGCTTGACACATTGTGCCCATGTGGGGAATCGAACCCTGGGCTTCGGCGTGACGAGCCAACGCTTTAACCACTAGGTTACCCCCACCCACCCCACCCACCCGAAACTAAAATGTATGTTGAGAGAAAGCGACCCCCCTGCATATCATGTATAAAATCAATGCCTCCCCCTTGCCATATTTGTAAGCATAACTTTCAAATGTTTATATGCACAAAACTGCTGACCCCTCCTAGTACGTGTGTACAAAATTGATGCCCCCTCAACCACCACCACCTCCCCCCCTCTTAAAATCATCATCCGCCCATCATCATCGTTTTCAAAGGGAGATATTTGTGGTTTAGAGAAGTTTCTATCATGTTTCACTTGGCTTTGAGAAATAAATAACTCACTCAGCAATAATCAAGCTCTACGACGACTGGCTGTCAATAATCGAGTTCGACTGTATGAAAGCTAGACTAGTTGTAAGTTGTTTAACACAGTCACAGAATATTCACCTTCGGTATGCTTATCAATAGTTCGCACAAAAGATCCCTCTTCACTTCCGGTCCCTGGTTGGCCTCGTCTTCGGAAACCTTCCGCGTGATGGACCGGACTCCCGACGGAACCACTGTGTACTTCCGGTAAACCTGCACCACGCCCCTGTACACGGGGAAATTCTTTTGGAGGTACCTGTCCACTTCCGTCAGGGAAAACACGACATTAGACGCTACGTTGGAGTTGAACTGGAGCTCGATAGGTTGGTCGTCAGTGGAGGTGATGTTGCCGCGGAACGTCACCTCGATGGTGTCGCCCTCGGAGATGTTGAGGACGTTACTGGCGCTTGGACCATCCCCGTATCCGTCATCAGCCAGCTTGTTCAGCAACTTCTCCGCCTTGTTGACGGGGGTCACGTGCAGCGTTGCGTCGAATGGGTCATCCGATCTGCAGAAGAGACCGCGTATTGGAATCACTCATAAAATAACTACATTATGTCTCCCGGGGATGTCCGGTCACTTCAAACCTCCGTGTTGTCTAATGAAGTTGCTGAGAGGATATGAGTGAATGGATTTGTTTGCTTTTACCAATTTTTCAGAATTCTATCTGACTTCCAACTTCTAAAATGCCACGCAAAGAAGTGTGTTTATCAGCAATGTCAAGGAGGGGAACACCCGAAATGGGATTCACACAATGTACCCGACCGAACCCGGATCTTCAGTGTGATGAGCGAACGCTTTAACCAGTAGGCTACCCCGCTTGAGCGGATGTGAAATACAGAAGCATATTATTATATATCTTTCTTCAAAAATACGTTTTGTACAAGTTCAATGCGGTTTTATCACCTTTGGAGTACATTTAACTTTATAAAACATTCAACCAATATGGTCAATATTTTCTAGGTTGTGATGTATGGGTTACCTTTATATGGTATTTGGAACTCTTTTACGATTGTTCTTAGATGTATATGTGTGCTGGAATTCTTAATAAGCAGCTCTTGCTGTGAATAGCTCGAAAAATACTCACGTGGCAAAAAGCAACATGTATTCATTATACATTTATCGGTGTGAGGTAAAATAACATGATATATCATCTAGCGTGAATTGGAACCTTGGCCATACTAGCTTTACAAAGATTACCATTCATCCACAAGTCAAAGGGGAGGGAAGAGTATGCTAGAAAGATAACAATAACAACGTATTCGTTGCCATGGCTACACTTGTTTTGTCATGCTACATAGTCAAGTAGCAATAGTTGGGTATCTACAAACACGTCTTAGGTCGGTGTTCAGCCTGGTGTGTGAGGGGGGTGGGGTGGGATGGGGGGTTGAGGCTACCTGGGTACCGTATGAGTTATTAATGACACTATACATTTCCGGTGGGGGGTTGAGGTTACCTGGGTACCGTATGAGTTATTAATGACACTATACATTTCCGGTTTAACTGATTCAAAGTACACAATTTAAGGAAAAGACGACAATCTTCCTGGGTCCCGTTCCTCAAAGCGATCGTAATCCTAAGATGATCGTAACTTCTTTAACATAGACTTACGACTGTCGTAACTCCCACACTTTAACATAGACTTACGACTGTCGTAGCGCTACGATCGCTTTGATGAACGAAGCCCTGTTTACTATACCGAGCATGTGTAGCTAACAGAATGTCTGAGGGTGAAATCGGATGATACCCAATTCCAGTAAAAGCAGATATAATGTCTTCCCCCTACAACTGCCACCCTGACAACTCCCACGCCCTCTATTCTCGTTTCCCTCCCTATCCCCACCGCTAACATAACATGCCCCGCCCATATCTTCATTCCTGTTCCCCACCTCTATTGGCTAAGAAAGACAATGTCAGACAATACCTCTGCTTCATCACGATCTGGACGTGTCTCCTTGAGAGGTAGTCGTTGAGTCCCGTTGCTATGGAAACTGCCGTCTCTTCCACTATATTGGTCCGTGTCCGGATCACCATGAACCTTTGAAGCAAGAGAAACCGATGATATTAACCTCGCATTATTAGTAACCATATCTTTCCGCATTGTTTGTTTCCCATAAAACACATAGTATCAAATGTCTCCACTATTCATCATGCGTAAAGACCGCCTCCTTGGTGTAGTGGTTAGAACGTCCGCCCGGAGAGTGGAAGGTCGCGGGTTCGATCCCCGACCGCGTCATACCAAAAGACGTTAAAATATGGTACTTGTTGGTCCCTGCCTGGCGCTCGGCATTAATGGGTTCAACAAGGACTGGTCGGCTCGGAGTCAGTATAATGTGTCTGAGTGGGGTATTCATGCTTCACTGCGGCATGGTATCTGAGTGCGTTAGCACTATAAAACCAGCTTCAGTCTGGGCTAGTACAAGCAGCCGCACATACACATACACACGCATGCACGTCGTCATATGAGCGAAATATTCTCAAGCACGACGTTAAACCCAATTTCACTTCACCTCATGCGTACAAAATTGATGACCCCCCCGCCTCCCAAGAACAAAATGGGTGACCCCTCTTAAAATCATCGTCCCCCCCCTAGCCATACATTATGGACGTTCCCTTAGTCATTATGTTGACCCATCAACTTCCACGAGGCTTTAGCCAAAGATACGTGTTTTATGTTGTACCTATTCCAAGTTATCAGTCTGTTGCTGTGTGGACTTCCCGTTTGGGCCCAGTTGGCAATATACATTGTTTACAGGGAATGGATATAATTGCTTTGGCCAGTAATGAGACCAATGAGTTCACCTGAGGTGAAATAATTGGTCTACCTATGATGAAGATAATTGGTTCACTGAAAGGCGAGGGTTGTTTACCTGTCGTACGGCTTGGTAATTGCAAAGGTCAACAGGTCAAGTTTAGCCTGGGTGATGGCGACGTCTGGCTGGACTGACCATCGGCCGTAAGCGAAGGACAGGAAGAACAGCAAGTCATTCTCGTCATCTGAATAAAAATGTCATGTAAAAAATCATACCGTTCACTTACAGCCTACCGAAAACCTAATCGTGCCACTTTCGTCGCAAACATTATTTTCTCGGTATTTCCCATACCTGTGTACTTTTTCGATATTTTGAGGAATTTTGCTCGTGACTGCAATCATATTTTCGTACTTTCAGTTAATTTCTCGAAGTTAAGTTTTCCTTATTTCATGTTTATTCCAAATACTCGGAATTAGTTTGTTTCTCGTTGCTTCGAATTCGAATATTATATTTAATTTTGGTTATTTTGTCGTTACTTCGAGCTAATCTTGAACGATTCATTCGTAATACGAGAATTTTTTCAGAATATAAATTTGTATACATATTGGCTGAGTATATCATTAGCAAGCAATGTATTGGTACCAGGACGTTATCTGGTACCACGAAAACGGTACAACGTACCATCTGAAGCGCCGTACTCGCCCATGTACCACTTGTTATGTCCGTGTTTCTTCTCCTCCCCCTCAAGCATCTGCTGTCTCTTCCTCTCTTTCTCTTTCTCTTCCTCCTCGATAGTGACAGGGACAGTCCGGATCGGGTTCTTCATCTTCTCCTCCTTCAACTTCCGGATCTGAGCCAGCTTCTTGGCCTTGGCGGGGTTGGGTGGACAGGGAAGACTGACCTGAAACATGGTGGTGTAGTTATGGGTGGACAGGGAAGACTGACCTGAAACATGGCGGTGTAGTTATGGGTGGACCTCCCTTTGATTGTATTGATTCAGCAGCATGGAGTTATCGATGTCATACCATGGTCTGTGTTTCTCGGCTGGGATGAACCAGGGCTCTGTTTCTGTATTTTGACGGACATGTTAATAACGGGGAACTTACAGATATGGGTTTCTGCAACTCAGTCGTCTCCCATTCCATGTACACTACTGGACTCGACGTCAGCAACCCCTTCGCCCGGACATCCCGCAACCGATAGTCGTGAACCGAGGCAGAATCTACTGGCTGTACCTACAACCACAGATGGTTGGTAAACGTCACTCTAAAAGTCTGACAAAAGACGATTCTTCAACACATTCTATAGCAATATATGGTAACATGTATTTACACTATTGCTTCAGAACCAATCAAATCAACAGGTGAACAATTATTTTATTCTTCTGCCACCAACCTGCATTAAGAAATGTTCCTTGCCCAGGAACGTATCACGTGGGATGACCATAGTTACTCTATGGTCGTATGATGACGTCACTTTCGATGACCTCTTTGACAACGTCACGAAGTCTCGTTTGAAACGTGACATTACGAGAAGCGTCGTAAGGTTCTTTACTTCTGCTTGTGCGAATTTCAGGTCCTGTAAGAGTTAGAAGGGTTTCACTAAAAGCACACATACTCAAGACATGCGCAGATGCGTAGATGGTGAGCAAGGTACCATGAATGATAGTCCTGATAATGTGGAGCATGTGACATTGCACACATGTAGTATTTTACATTCGCACACCTTTAAAGTATTATGTTTATCATTAATGTAACAAAAATGTGTACAACTACATTATGGAAACGTAAGAAGCATTAGGCACCCTCTCAGTAAATCACTACATACATAGATCAATAAATCTCATTAAGAAATTAGTCGGGAATGGCAACTTGAGATACAGTTGTTTGAACAGTAACACACACATAACACAAAATCCGCTCAGTCAGTTTTCAGCCAAGCAGGAAACACTAGTCCGATAGTGGATGTGGACTATTTTTTTTCGTATTATCAACGCCCAAAACCCCCAAAATGTTGGTATAGCTACTTAATACAACTGCAAGCACATTTGCAATGCATTCATAGCTATCGATGAAGTAATCGGCGTGAATGATGTCAGTTTCTGCTGTTTTGATTCATTTGATAACCATGATTCCAGGATGGCAGAGGGAATATATATACTTTGTCGTCTCACTTACCTTATGGTTGTCGAAGGTTACCTCCCTTGTCGGAAGTTCCGACCACTGGCCCCCAATGTCCGCCTTGATGACGGCCTCCCGTGATGCAGCTGACGCCCGGGTCATCAGGTGCGGCAGGGCGACGTACAACGCCTCCTGGTGGACAAGGGAGATAATTATGAACAGGCCTCCTCATCAAACAGCATCCCTTAAAGAAATTGCATTGATCGTTATCTGCGCGATTTAAATGACCAGACGACACGAAGTGATTTGTTTCAAACGGCGTGAACCTGAGCAGCGAGTACACTACCACTTACTTAAGAACTGTATTAGAACCTACACCGAAACAGCGATCAGATTTGTAACTAATATGTTGTTCACCCATGAAACAACAGCTTTACCCAGCACGTCCAATTCTATGTGGTTCTTAAAGAGTGACTGGGTCAGTGAGTATGGTTTTACGCCGCTTTTCTCAATATTCAAGGAATATCCAGGCAGGAGATACCAGAATGGGCTTCATACATTGTACTAATGTAGGGAATCGAACCCGGGAGTACAGCTTTACGAGCGAACGCTTTAAATGACCACTAGGCTTCCCCACCGGCCTGGTTCTATAAAGAAGTTCAAAACATATAAATAAACAATAATCCAACATCATTACGAAACCAGTTTATCCCGCATTACCAGTCCAAGGCTGCCTTCAATATTCACATGAAAAGCATTAATATTCATACAATTCATTGATAATGTGTCCTCCACCCCGCTTATAAATATCAGAGTAGGTAGGCTAAGTAAACTACGTTAAAGCCATGTTGTTTTTGTCTGAAACATGCTACCATTATCTAGTAAAATTAAAGGTTTGCACGTTACGCCAATTAACCACATGCCGTCATGGTTAACTTTTATGGGGTTTTGTTTTCAGTACGACGATCATGGATTCGGAAATGGTACGAATTAAATCTGTAAACACTCATACATATACATAAGTCCCCATGGTCCCTAGTGTGGTGATCTGCCAACAGAAACAGTTGTTGGCGACCTATAGCCTGTTTTTATACTGTATTGTCTTCATAAACAAAAGACATTTAGATTTACATGCTGATGTGTTTGTTTCTTTCTCGTCACTATATGGCCGAAATATTGTCACTCACTCACTCACTCACTCAAGAAAAAAATATATATACTCATGCCAACAATGGTTGTCGCCCCCTTCAATTTTTTTAATTGGAGAGGGGGACTGAGGTGGGGATGTGAGGTGTGTGTGAGGTCAGGGTGGGGAGGGGGGTGACAACCATTATTGGCATGAGTATATTTCAACCCGGATTTCACTGTACAGGTGCAAATAAACATCTTACAGAAACGTAATTCATAATCAAACAATACTGCATGCATTCCGCAGTTGTTTTGACGTCGTGATCGCCGTAATATGTTGGCGTTGCCATTAGCGACCAACACCATATTGTAACGACAGAGGTACGATGAAAGTTGTGCTGGCGAGGTGAGTGGTGATCGAAATAGTTCCGATCTGTGTTAAGTAGGTTTGATGAGGGCATTGGCTCACACTCCACTGCTATAACCCTGGACCATATTCCTCCGTGAGTCAAGTGTACACAGCCCACTCCACGCCAAACCCCAATACGCCTAGAGTGAGCTGTTATTACACACTGATACAGGCTGTGTGTGCATATTCCAAATACCAGGTAACTTGATCGATAAAGCATATGTATTGTAGTAAATGTAAACACGTTATAAATACCTGGCTTTAGGTATGTTTGTTTCAATAAATTGTAAAACACTGGAGTAAGTGTTCGGTTGTTTCGCGACCGGATTTAAGTCGTATCTTGCACTGTTACGGTATTAAGTATTCGGGCTGTAATAGATTAATATAGGAACTGCCTACTTGGACAGTCACAGTTTTACCCTATAAGTCTGTTTCTTCTGAATAACGTCATGCGACGCATGTCTGTATCTTCTGAATAACGTCATGCGGCGCATGTCTGTATCTTCTGAATAACGTCATGCGGCGCATGTCTGTATCTTCTGAATAACGTCATGTCACCCATGTCTGTATCTTCTAAATAACGTCATGCTGCGCATGTCTGTATCTTCTGAATAACGTCATGCTGCGTATGTCTGCATCTTCTTAATAACGTCATGCGGCGCATGTCTGTATCTTCTGAATAACGTCATGTCGCCCATGTCTGCATCTTCTGAATAACGTCATGCGGCGCATGTCTGTATCTTCTGAATAACGTCATGCGGCGCATGTCTGTATCTTCCGAATAACGCCATGCTGCGCATGTCTGTATCTTCTGAATAGCGTCATGCTGCGCATGTCTGTATCTTCTGAATAACGTCATGCTGCGCATGTCTGTATCTTCTGAATAACGTCATGCGGCTCGTGTCTGTATCTTCTGAATAATATGTAACTTTACTTGTAAAACACTGTAATTGGACAATGCAGTTTTTGTACATCATTCCGTTCATCGCGCTGTCTAGGGTAAAACTGACAAAAATGTATCATGTTGCCCTGACAACGGCGTTTTTGCCTAACTCTGGTATGAATTACTCCTGACAGGGTTATAGGGTTCGCATGGGTTAAGACGACCGTAGGTTCAAACAGTTGTGAGTTGAGAAGTAAACAAATAGGCGTCTGGTGGGGCTGGCATAGAAACAATGGCCACCAAACACTTCGCTTTACAATCTGAGGGTGGTCACCAAACGTTCTAAACTGGTCCCAGAAAACACTTTAAAAGTAAGCCTTTTAAAAAAATATCTGCCAGAAAAAGAACACGACATATATTTAGAAGTATTTGAGTCCGCAGTCACTTCTACATGGAAATCAGACCCGAAACACCTGGCCAGAACGAGACATCAGCTATTATTAGGCACAGTCGCAGCGGATATTTGACATCGCCGCGATATTGAACACACCGTTAACACGAGTCTTTTGAAATTGCAATGGCTCGACTTGAAACCTGATGGTAAGTGTGAGACAAAATAACAAGAAGTATATAAATCTGAGGGAGAGAAACAGTATTCGTCTGTGCACTTGAACATGCAGACACCATATGGATTGGCTAAAAAGGTCCAGTTGGACACCATACACTTGAACATGCAGACACCACATGGATTGGCTAAAAAGGTCCAGTTGGACACCATACACTTGAACATGCAGACACCACATGGATTGGCTAAAAAGGTCCAGTTGGACACCATACACTTGAACATGCAGACACCACATGGATTGGCTAAAAAGGTCCAGTTGGACACCATACACTTGAACATGCAGACACCATATGGACTGGCTAAAAAGGTCCAGTTGGACACCATACACTTGAACATGCAGACACCATATGGATTGGCTAAAAGGTCCAGTTGGACACCATACACTTGAACATGCAGACACCATATGGATTGGCTAAAAGGTCCAGTTGGACACCATACACTTGAACATGCAGACACCATATGGATTGGCTAAAAAGGTCCAGTTGGACACCATACACTTGAACATGCAGACACCACATGGATTGGCTAAAAAGGTCCAGTTGGACACCATACACTTGAACATGCAGACACCACATGGATTGGCTAAAAAGGTCCAGTTGGACACCATACACTTGAACATGCAGACACCACATGGATTGGCTAAAAAAGGTCCAGTTGGACACCATACACTTGAACATGCAGACACCACATGGATTGGCTAAAAAGGTCCAGTTGGACACCATACACTTGAACATGCAGACACCACATGGATTGGCTAAAAAGGTCCAGTTGGACACCATACACTTGAACATGCAGACACCACATGGATTGGCTAAAAAGGTCCAGTTGGACACCATACACTTGAACATGCAGACACCATATGGATTGGCTAAAAAGGTCCAGTTGGACACCATACACTTGAACATGCAGACACCATATAGATTGGCTAACAAGGTCCAGTTGGACACCATACACTTGAACATGCAGACACCATATGGATTGGCGAAAAAGGTCCAGTTGGACACCATACACTTGAACATGCAGACACCATATGGATTGGCTATAAAGGTCCAGTTGGACACCATACACTTGAACATGCAGACACCATATGGATTGGCTAAAAAGGTCCAGTTGGACACCATACACTTGAACATGCAGACACCATATGGATTGGCTAAAAAGGTCCAGTTGGACACCATACACTTGAACATGTAGACACCACATGGATTGGCTATAAAGGTCCAGTTGGACACCATACACTTGAACATGCAGACACCATATAGATTGGCTAACAAGGTCCAGTTGGACACCATACACTTGAACATGCAGACACCATATGGATTGGCGAAAAAGGTCCAGTTGGACACCATACACTTGAACATGCAGACACCATACGGATTGGCTAAAAGGTCCAGTTGGACACCATACACTTGAACATGCAGACACCATATGGATTGGCTAAAAAGGTCCAGTTGGACACCATACACTTGAACATGCAGACACCACATGGATTGGCTAAAAAGGTCCAGTTGGACACCATACACTTGAACATGCAGACACCACATGGATTGGCTATAAAGGTCCAGTTGGACACCATACACTTGAACATGCAGACACCATATGGATTGGCTATAAAGGTCCAGTTGGACACCATACACTTGAACATGCAGACACCATATGGATTGGCTAAAAGGTCCAGTTGGACACCATACACTTGAACATGCAGACACCATATGGATTGGCTAAAAGGTCCAGTTGGACACCATACACTTGAACATGCAGACACCACATGGATTGGCTATAAAGGTCCAGTTGGACACCATACACTTGAACATGCAGACACCATATAGATTGGCTAACAAGGTCCAGTTGGACACCATACACTTGAACATGCAGACACCATATGGATTGGCTAAAAAGGTCCAGTTGGACACCATACACTTGAACATGCAGACACCATATGGATTGGCTATAAAGGTCCAGTTGGACACCATACACTTGAACATGCAGACACCACATGGATTGGCTAAAAAGGTCCAGTTGGACACCATACACTTGAACATGCAGACACCATATAGATTGGCTAACAAGGTCCAGTTGGACACCATACACTTGAACATGCAGACACCACATGGATTGGCTAAAAAGGTCCAGTTGGACACCATACACTTGAACATGCAGACACCACATGGATTGGCTAAAAGGTCCAGTTGGACACCATACACTTGAACATGCAGACACCATATAGATTGGCTAACAAGGTCCAGTTGGACACCATACACTTGAACATGCAGACACCATATGGATTGGCGAAAAAGGTCCAGTTGGACACCATACACTTGAACATGCAGACACCATATGGATTGGCTAAAAAGGTCCAGTTGGACACCATACACTTGAACATGCAGACACCACATGGATTGGCTAAAAAGGTCCAGTTGGACACCATACACTTGAACATGCAGACACCACATGGATTGGCTATAAAGGTCCAGTTGGACACCATACACTTGAACATGCAGACACCATATGGATTGGCTATAAAGGTCCAGTTGGACACCATACACTTGAACATGCAGACACCACATGGATTGGCTAAAAAGGTCCAGTTGGACACCATACACTTGAACATGCAGACACCATATGGATTGGCTAAAAAGGTCCAGTTGGACACCATACACTTGAACATGCAGACACCATATGGATTGGCTAAAAAGGTCCAGTTGGACACCATACATGTGAACATGCAGACACCACATGGATTGGGTAAAAAGGTCCAGTTGGACACCATACCTTTTTCGGCGAGGTTTTGAAATCAAGGAAAAGCGGTTGAAAACTACATTCATTGTAAAGACTGATTCTGATGGTGGTCTCCGTTATGCACAGAGAAATGTTGGAGAACTGACCCAAATCCACAGGAATGATATGGAATCATTGGGATGTGTAGTGACGGAGCAGTCTAACTCACCTTTCTGTCCAGATACATAGTACTTGCCTCCCTTGATGAGCTGCATCCCAGTTGCAATCGACTGGGACAGTATCTGAGAGATTGTTTCTGCGACAATGATTCTACCTGGTATAACAACACGCCTGTCGGGAGGAGTACACAAGCTACCTACATATCTACAGCTCATCAGTATATTAACCATATATGTATGGCATTGAAATGCGTAATGTGACGTCACAATATCTTACCTCTAAGTTTGTGTCGTCCCCTTTGGATGACGTCAGCTTGACCACGTGACTTATCAGTTCCTCATGCGGCCTGTATGTGATATCCAAGGTGTCCAGATCTACCAGGTCAAGTGTGACGTCATTCCGGTCAAAGCTGGCGGGATGACCCCGGATGATACATCCCACGCTGATGTCGCTTGAGGAGTTGCCGACGTCGTACCTGACAGCATCAATAACACGTGACTAAACTGTTTACCATTAAGAGAATGTTTTGTTTCTTAGTTCAGAATCACATCATTCTGAGGTCAAGTTTATCACTCGCTGTGAGATGACAACGTTTGTTTGTTTGTTTATTTATCTAGAGGCCCAACCAGGATTATCCCAGCTACATGCTGGCGGTCCGTAAATAATCGAGTTTCTACCAGCGACCAGTTGATCAACAGCATGAGCATCGTTCTACACAACTAGCATAATCATGTGTCAACAATGTCACCGAGCCTGATCCACAGGCCCTCGTGTCCTTGCGAGGATTAAAGATTAACAGACATATTTTTTTTAGATGAACCCCGACTCGCAATGCTTCCCAGTACAATACATAGTACTGTGAAGCATTTCGAGTCGTGGATCATCTCATTTTGTTTAAAAATGTTCTTTAAATATATAATCCTCGCAAAGACACGAGGGGCTGTGGCCTAACCACTAGATCCCGGTAGTCGCCTCTTACGACAAGCATGAGTTACTGAAGACCAATTCTAACCTTCACGGGTACAGAATACATATATGAGCGCGATCTCTAAATTGCAAACCACCTGATAACGCCGTGGTTGATATGAAGGTACGCTGCTGTGTAAATGTTATTAGCAACTGGCCGAGTAGTGGCATGTAATGTCTATCTTGCGAACGAGACCAACAGTTGACAAACATTAACCGTGCTCAATCATAACAACAGAATACCGTTATACATGTATGTGGCAGTGTATGATATAGTGACAATTTATTGCCACCGTTCTCTGATCTTATTCAAAGCCGTGTGTTTTAATTGCGAAATACATATCACCTACTGAAAACAGATATTTCCCTAAATCACCGACTGACTCGGGGATAAAAACTGTTCAAGGAGTTTCAACCGTATCCTTTCGTCATTTGATTTACCCTAAATATTTGCAGTAGTTCTTGTAGGTTTGTTTATTCATTTGTTTGTTGAGGCAATGTATTCCCCCTCGCAATACTATGTGTGTCGGTATCACAGTACATGCTATTACGTTGTCCTTAAACTCGTCAATACATATCATTATTACACACTTCTGTCTAGGCCTACCGGGTACCCATTAACTGCTGGGGGACCAAATGCACATTATTAACAGTCGCAGGGGAGCCTCGCACGAACAAGTAGTACTTGTATATTATTTGCTTTATAACTATGGCTGACAGTTCTTCTACATATGTTCTCACTTAAAATATCGCACTTTTAAGTGGGCAAATGATATTCTAAAAAGGACATTATGCACCTGCTGTTTATCAACACATGGTAACTACAGGGTACAAGTGCCCCGAATGTAAATACAACTATAAGCTTTGTATGGTGCTTGCACTGACGACATACATGTTTATTATGCCCTATCAACCTCGATATACAGCGGCTTGTGTTACAAATACAGGTGTTCTTCGTTGGAAACGAGAGAAATATTGAGCAATTAAAATATCCTTCACCCCCTTTCGCCGGCACGTGCCCTCCCCATAATACTCCCACAGTAACGGCAGGTGTTGCGTTGTTGTGGGGTCAGTGTACCCGCGGGAGGATCTAAGCGACGTGATTTACGTCACGTCTCTCTGTATTGAGTCGAGACGTGTACAACGACAGCACTGTTCTCTCAGGCGGATTAGCATGCAGGAAGCATTAAATGTGAAATTGATAGATTGAAGTGAAGTCTGATTGTGCCAGGTCGGGGTGAATACGCATGTGCGGCTGTGATAATTACATTTTAACTTCTAACACGCTGATCGGGTGAAATGGGTAGCATGCTATTAGTTGTGTGGGGTTACGTCCCTTGCACGCACCAGGAACCTGTGATCATGGATTCAAATTCCTGTTCAACGGGATGGTGTGTCTAGGTTTATCTACACCATGCCTGAGATTGCTGGATTCACAAAGGTTTAGAATATACGACCTCATCGCCCACTAATCTCTATTCACCTCCAGTACCCCTCCAATAGAGATTATACGAGTTGCCGACTTATTTAACAATGGTTAGGATGCCATTAATATTACAGCACGTCAGTTTGGTGAGTGAGTGAGTGAGGGATTGATGGAGGGAGGGAGGAACGAGGGAGGGAGGGAGGGAGGAGGGAGGGAGGGAGTGAGCAATTGGGATATGTGTCATCCAAGTCAGTGAGCCTGACCACCCTATCCCGTCCCTGATGAAGACCACCTCTAACCAGGATCTTCACGGGTAGTTTGTTTTCAAACAAAGCGGGCAAACCAAACACCGAAGGACAGTAAACAACCACTTCAGATGTGTATACTGTAAGGCCAGTCTGTGATATAGGGCAATGGCTGTTTTGGGTAGATAATGACTTCTATAGTATTTGTCAGAACACACATGGCTTTGTACAACATCAGAGAAACGAGGCAGTAAATGACGCTGTTTCTACACACTGACACATATAACGGTATTCTATTGTTATTTACGAGCACGGTCAATGTTTGTCAACCTTGGGTCCCGTTCGGCAAATGGGACATTACATACCAACCCATGTTATCAATAGTCGCTATGTGGTTCAGTACATTCACATAGCAGCTTATATTGTGTTGGTGAGAAAAGTTGTGTTAATGACATTAAGCTCCCCGCGCATGCTCAGTGACATGTCTTGTGTTGAATGGACGTGACAAATCACTGTATGTGAAATACACACTGATCTTAAACAGCTTAAACCAGAACGTCCTTGACCTTACCTAGAGTTCCGTTTATATTTGTACACAGTGTACATTGTTGAATGAAACTATTGGGAACATGTTTGATGCAATCACGAAGAACAATTATACTACCGGAAGCGGGCTTGGTTCTCTGTGTATCTATGAACCTGCACACCACCCGATCCACATATACTGATATGCTAAAGAAAGTATACAGCCATGTTTGATGGTGGCTGGGTATGGAATGATTATTCGTTTGAGTCGTGTTTGAAGCTGTCACCTCGTTCTGTATTATAACTGGAGATGTCACGGTTTTCAGGTTAGTAACGCCAGACAACGTTTGTAATACATATGCACATGTCTACCAGCATGTTACATAGTACAGCTACATACTACTCACTAGAGAGGTAATGATAAAGTGTTACAACTACAGCGCTACAGAGCTACATGGCTACATTACAGTCCTACCCACTAGAGAAGTAGTGATAAAGTGTAACAACTACAGTGCTACGGAGCTACATGGCTACATTACAGTCCTACCAACTAGAGAGGTAATGATAAAGTGTTACAACTACAGTGCTACGGAGCTACAAGGCTACATTACAGTCCTACCAACTAGAGAGGTAATGATACAGTGTTACAACTACAGTGCTACGGAGCTACATGGCTACATTACAGTCCTACCAACTAGAGAGGTACTGTTACCGTGTTACAACTACAGTGCTACGGACCTACAAGGCTACATTACAGTTCTACCAACTAGAGAGGTAATGATAAAGTGTTACAACTACAGTGCTACGGAGCTACATGGCTACATTACAGTACTACCCACAAGAGAGGCAATGATACAGTGTTACAACTACAGTGCTACAGAGCTACATTACAGTACTACCCACTAGAGAGGTAATGTTAGAGTGTTACAACTACAGTGCTTCAGAGCTACATGGCTACATTACAGTCCTACCCACTAGTGAGGTAATGTTACCGTGCTACAACTACAGTGCTACGAAGCTACATGGCTACATTACAGTCCTACCCACTAGTGAGGTAATATTTCCGTGCTACAACTACAGTGCTACAGAGCTACATGGCTACATTACAGTACTACCCACTAGTGAGGTAATGTTACCGTGCTACAACTACAGTGCTACGGAGCTACATGGCTACATTACAGTCCTACCCACTAGTGAGGTAATGTTACCGTGCTACAACTACAGTGCTACAGAGCTACATGGCTACATTACAGTACTACCCACTATTGAGGTAATGTTACCGTGCTATAACTACAGTGCTACGGAGCTACATGGCTACAATACAGTCCTACCAACTAGAATGGTAATGATAAAGTGTTACAACTACAGTGCTACGGAGCTACAAGGCTACATTACAGTCCTACCAACTAGAGAGGTAATGATAAAGTGTTACAACTACAGTGCTACGGAGCTACAAGGCTACAATACAGTCCTACCAACTAGAATGGTAATGATAAAGTGTTACAACTACAGTGCTACGGAGCTACAAGGCTACATTACAGTCCTACCAACTAGAGAGGTAATGATAAAGTGTTACAACTACAGTGCTACGGAGCTACAAGGCTACATTACAGTCCTACCAACTAGAGAGGTAATGATACAGTGTTACAACTACAGTGCTACGGAGCTACATGGCTACATTACAGTCCTACCAACTAGAGAGGTACGGAGCTACAAGGCTACAATACAGTCCTACCAACTAGAATGGTAATGATAAAGTGTTACAACTACAGTGCTACGGAGCTACAAGGCTACAATACAGTCCTACCAACTAGAATGGTAATGATAAAGTGTTACAACTACAGTGCTACGGAGCTACAAGGCTACATTACAGTCCTACAAACTAGAGAGGTAATGATAAAGTGTTACAACTACAGTGCTACGGAGCTACAAGGCTACATTACAGTCCTACCAACTAGAGAGGTAATGATACAGTGTTACAACTACAGTGCTACGGAGCTACATGGCTACATTACAGTCCTACCAACTAGAGAGGTAATGATAAAGTGTTACAACTACAGTGCTATGGAGCTACATGGCTACATTACAGTACTACCCACTAGAGAGGCAATGATACAGTGTTACAACTACAGCGCTACAGAGCTACATTACAGTACTACCCACTAGAGAGGTAATGTTAGAGTGTTACAACTACAGTGCTACAGAGCTACATGGCTACATTACAGTCCTACCCACTAGTGAGGTAATGTTACCGTGCTACAACTACAGTGCTACGAAGCTACATGGCTACATTACAGTCCTACCCACTAGTGAGGTAATGTTACCGTGCTACAACTACAGTGCTACAGAGCTACATGGCTACATTACAGTCCTACCCACTAGTGAGGTAATGTTACCGTGCTACAACTACAGTGCTACAGAGCTACATGGCTACATTACAGTACTACCCACTAGTGAGGTAATGTTACCGTGCTACAACTACAGTGCTATGGAGCTACAAGGCTACATTACAGTCGTACCAACTAGAGAGGTAATGATAAAGTGTTACAACTACAGTGCTACGGAGCTACAAGGCTACATTACAGTCCTACCAACTAGAGAGGTAATGATACAGTGTTACAACTACAGTGCTACGGAGCTACATGGCTACATTACAGTCCTACCAACTAGAGAGGTACGGAGCTACAAGGCTACAATACAGTCCTACCAACTAGAATGGTAATGATAAAGTGTTACAACTACAGTGCTACGGAGCTACAAGACTACAATACAGTCCTACCAACTAGAATGGTAATGATAAAGTGTTACAACTACAGTGCTACGGAGCTACAAGGCTACATTACAGTCCTACCAACTAGAGAGGTAATGATAAAGTGTTACAACTACAGTGCTACGGAGCTACAAGGCTACATTACAGTCCTACCAACTAGAGAGGTAATGATACAGTGTTACAACTACAGTGCTACGGAGCTACATGGCTACATTACAGTCCTACCAACTAGAGAGGTAATGATAAAGTGTTACAACTACAGTGCTACGGAGCTACATGGCTACATTACAGTACTACCCACTAGAGAGGCAATGATACAGTGTTACAACTACAGTGCTACAGAGCTACATGGCTACATTACAGTCCTACCCACTAGTGAGGTAATGTTACCGTGCTACAACTACAGTGCTACAGAGCTACATGGCTACATTACAGTCCTACCCACTAGTGAGGTAATGTTACCGTGCTACAACTACAGTGCTACGAAGCTACATGGCTACATTACAGTCCTACCCACTAGTGAGGTAATGTTACCGTGCTACAACTACAGTGCTACAGAGCTACATGGCTACATTACAGTCCTACCCACTAGTGAGGTAATGTTACCGTGCTACAACTACAGTGCTACAGAGCTACATGGCTACATTACAGTACTACCCACTAGTGAGGTAATGTTACCGTGCTACAACTACAGTGCTACGGAGCTACAAGGCTACAATACAGTCCTACCAACTAGAATGGTAATGATAAAGTGTTACAACTACAGTGCTACAGAGCTACAAGGCTACATTACAGTACTACCCACTAGAGAGGTACGGAGCTACAAGGCTACAATACAGTCCTACCAACTAGAATGGTAATGATAAAGTGTTACAACTACAGTGCTACGGAGCTACAAGGCTACAATACAGTCCTACCAACTAGAATGGTAATGATAAAGTGTTACAACTACAGTGCTACGGAGCTACAAGGCTACATTACAGTCCTACCAACTAGAGAGGTAATGATACAGTGTTACAACTACAGTGCTACGGAGCTACAAGGCTACATTACAGTCCTACCAACTAGAGAGGTAATGATACAGTGTTACAACTACAGTGCTACGGAGCTACATGGCTACATTACAGTCCTACCAACTAGAGAGGTAATGATAAAGTGTTACAACTACAGTGCTACGGAGCTACATGGCTACATTACAGTACTACCCACTAGAGAGGCAATGATACAGTGTTACAACTACAGTGCTACAGAGCTACATGGCTACATTACAGTCCTACCCACTAGTGAGGTAATGTTACCGTGCTACAACTACAGTGCTACGAAGCTACATGGCTACATTACAGTCCTACCCACTAGTGAGGTAATGTTACCGTGCTACAACTACAGTGCTACAGAGCTACATGGCTACATTACAGTACTACCCACTAGTGAGGTAATGTTACCGTGCTACAACTACAGTGCTACGGAGCTACAAGGCTACAATACAGTCCTACCAACTAGAATGGTAATGATAAAGTGTTACAACTACAGTGCTACAGAGCTACATGGCTACATTACAGTACTACCCACTAGAATGGTAATGATAAAGTGTTACAACTACAGTGCTACGGAGCTACATGGCTACAATACAGTCCTACCAACTAGAATGGTAATGATAAAGTGTTACAACTACAGTGCTACGGAGCTACAAGGCTACAATACAGTCCTACCAACTAGAATGGCAATGATAAAGTGTTACAACTACAGTGCTACGGAGCTACAAGGCTACAATACAGTCCTACCAACTAGAATGGTAATGATAAAGTGTTACAACTACAGTGTTACAGAGCTACATGGCTACATTACAGTACTACCCACTAGTGAGCTACATGCTACAGCGGTACAAATACAGTGCTACAGGGCTAGAAATACAACACTACCCGCCAGTGAGGGACCTTGCTTCAGCAACACAGCAACAACGTACAGAGCTACGAGTACAGTGCTGCCCACTGGTTAAGTACATGCTACCATGCTTCAGCCACAGAGCTCCATAGCTACAACCCCAGAGCTACACATATCTGGCTACAGTGCTACAGATACAGTGTTGTATACACGAGGACCACTCACTCATTCACTGGCCACTTCTCCCAGGGGTTCTTCTCCAGGTTACTAGCTTCTCGCCTCCTCCACTCAGCCTCCTTCGCCCGCTTCTCCTCCTCAGCTCGTCTTTCCTCTTCCTCGCGCTTCCTATCTTCCTCCTCCTTCCTCCGTTCTTCCTCTGCCTTCTTCTCGGCTTCCATCTTTGCACGCAACTCTATTTCTTCTTGCAATCTGGATGATGCAAAATATGTATACACTTTGTTTACGACAATATCAACACAGTAACCGCTGTGTGAATGAATTACACAGTGACCAGGCGTTTATCGGGTGGAACCAACTCTCTCTTGTTTTGCACAAATACAGGTAGATGTGAATTAGAGCTGAGGAGAAGCTGAGTTTGCCGAGTATTCAAACAGTTAAGAGAGCTAAGAGATTTTGTCACTCACTCACTCACTCACCTTTTGGCCTCCTCCCTGGCCCTATCGGCAGCTATCCCAGCCTTCACTGCGGTACTCTCGGTGTCGGCGGAAAGACGCACGGCTTCTGCTACCTCCGCGTTGGCCTTGGCAACGGCAGCGTTAAGTGACGTGAGTTTGTGTGTCAGTTCCTTCTCTTCGACCGTCTGCAGCTCTTCATCTATACGGAATAGACAGTAAACGTAAAACACAGGATAATAAGTGTACTTGAAAGATCAAACATTAAATATTTACCTAACACAGTGCTATAAAGAAATCCGTGAAGAGAAAACGGTTAAGGTTTAGCTGACACAACGATACTGAGCATTTTGTGGAGAATATACCGAAAACGTCTACCTCATCAAGCCGACACAATGCTATCAAGCATTCAGTGAATGGTAGAAACGTCAAGGAGACACACGACATCAAGCCTACAGTGGAGTGCACAGTCTAAAGTAATATCTAGTAAATGTTATCAAGCATTCCGTGAGTGACGGACAGTAAACGACAGCAGACCAACAAATTAGGTTTTCCGTGGAGAATCATGGGAATCTACACACTGTATCCGATAGATAAAAGGGGACACCAGTTGCAACCAACCATTAGCCCACCAGCGACAAGGTAGACAACTGCTTATTTTTCAAACCCCAAACAAACAGAGCTTTGTGTCACAGGACCTCGCTCTGAGACAACTGAGTGACGTGGAAGACCTAGGCTCCCAGTGCTTATCGTCCAATTCTTACATACTGATGAAGCTACAGAGATACACAGAGATACGGGATACAGACCACAGCATCAGCTTCCGCGTCGTCAGGGACGGACGTAGACACACAAACGTTGTTTACACATGTCAGCTGGACACCTGACTTTACAAGTCATCAGTTACCAACACGACCCCATGTCAGATGTTGCCTACCAAACACTGGCAGGCTTTAATGCAGGTTCCTACTCCTGCATATTTAACTGAGAAACCACCTGGTCACGTAATATCGGGGAAAGTCATTATTAAACCCACAACGCACATTATCTATAATTAAATCGTTCTAGCCTTGGGGATACTTTCTATCACGTTAACTTAAAGGGAGGTGTTGACAATGGTAACTGTTGGGAAGTTGAACTACAACTGACACGCAATTAACATATCTCATGCTGGTCCAAGCTAATGTCAAGTTTACCACAAACTTGACGTTAATATGTTCGTATTAATGTCAAGCTGAGCACGAGTATAAAGTAAAATAGCTCATATCAAGTTAAACACAAGCTTAACGTCAACTATTTCGTCTTAATGTCAAGCCTACCACAAGGGTAATTTTAACTAGTGCATATCAATGTCAACTTCAGTACAAGCTCATCGGTAACTAGAACGCATTAATGTCACGTTGAGCACAAACTTAACGTTAACGAGTTAATGTCAACATGTTTAAAACGCAACGTTTACTAATTCAAATGCTACTAATTCATCCATAAGAATAATAAAATATGAACTCTGGGAATGATAGATGGAGCATACATCTAAGACAGCAGACAGCACACGTTCCCAACGTTCCCTGTAGTTCGACTCCAAGTTGGGGGTATGAGGACAGGATGACGTAACTTACATCGACCGTTGGAGTCTCTGTCACACAATAGTCACGTGTCATCTCTACCGCTAGATCTCAATACTCTTCGTTGTATGACTCACACTAACCACATGCCTTTCAAAGGCACCAAAGACCACATACAAGGTAAACAAACTTGCAGGAATCTGTTTTAAGCTACTGACTCCAAATGGGACTTTCATTAAAATCATCACGTGTCGTTGATGGTTGTGTTTAGAAAGCTAAACGTTAAATTCATTTTCATAATCTTATTATATTTGTTTAATGATTTTTGCCACGAGTATCCAGTTCAGGTAAGTAAAATGTTGACTATTCTTGGAAGCTTCAAATGTCAAACGTTGGGAACTATACCTACGTACATAACAAAGTACACACCTGGTGTTTTGGCAATAAAATCATAAATATTTTGCTAACAATTTTGTAATTTAGTACAATATCTGTGGTGTTTTGGAAAACTTGCACAATGTTTGTGACAAGGCAGAATCAAAACACTTTTTACATATTAATGCTGTTATAAAGAAAATATTTTACCAAAGATTCAGGTGTGTACTCTCTTTGTGTGTTCATATGTGTGCGGCAGACCCAATTGTTGTGCATGCTGTGGGATATTGTTTGCAAACACATGGTCAGGATTAGAATGGTTTATTAGACCATGGCTTTACTAGAGATTGTTTCTTATTATGGAAAGGGTATGTAACCTCATTGACTAAAATTGTGTGATATCTCAGGCGATTACACCAGAAATAGCTGTCTGGGGATAAAAATAAGAATTACTGCATGGTGTAATTCTCATTTGTAAGGTTAGAGTATCTGGAACTGAGGTATGTGGGTCACCTCAAGGAGCGCACGTGTGTGCAAAGGTGTGGGATTGTGAGTGTGTGTGTGTCTGTGAGCAAACGGGCGGGATGGGAATGTGTGCGTGAGTGCGTGAGTGAGTGCGTGAATGCGTTTGTGGTCTGTGCGTGTGTGTGTGTGTGTGTGTGCGCGCTTGTGAGTGTATGTGTGTTTTGGGACGGGGTGGGAAGCGTGGCCTCACAGAGTGAGGGCGATCGCGACTACCTCCCCAAGGTACAATGTACACCTGCTGATGGATTGCTGCAGTAGCTGCACCGATGGGCCGCAGATCGATACGGGTTATTGATTTATGCAGATTAAAACTATACAGCGTTTGACTGAGTAATGTCAATTTAACTATGATTGATGGCATTTTTCTATCTGATCATAACCGATCAAATCTGAATTTTCTGAATAAATGATTTTATTATTAATATAGTGAATACCTGGTGTTGGTTTATGATCATGAAAATAAACATATCGTCATAAACTACTGAAGCAGCCACTATGATTATATAATCATTGCAGGACCTAGGAGAGATTGTGAATGTGGTTTTAGATAGAAGCGACAAAACCACTTACAGCATCCGTAAGAAAACGATACGATTTCGATTAAATTGTACAATTGTGACTATTGACTGAAGCATACTTATTCAAAAGAGAATGGATTGGGTACAAGTTATTCCAACTTAGTGACTATATCATGTGACTGTATCATGAGTTATGTATTTGCAGTAGTAGTACATCTCTACGATGATTTTTGTAGCAAATCGAGTCTGTACCAGACAATCCCGTGATGGTCACTATGCGATGACAGAGCATGTTTTTGTTTTGATGAATCACTATGAAAGAGTGTTGATACTAACTGGTCGGTCCGTTCAATAATCGCTATCCCACAATAGGTTCGGATCTGATTCTTCACACGCGGGAAACGGTTTCGAGTTTCAAATTGGAAGTTTACCTCTCAGCCTGAGTGGTGATGTCTCTGTATCAACTAACAACCGATATGGAGACTGGTTATGGTGAGACCATGGGGGCAAAAGAAATATCAGATTGATGCTGGTATCGTTTCTTACGATAAATCACAATTTCTGATACAATGTTGTTATGTAAGTATCCATCACACATATTCACATCACGTTCAATTCAAGAAACGTAATCATAAATATAAATGTAAATGATAAACTATAGTCAAAGGGTAAGTGCTCGATCAAGAAACACACTTACAATGGCAGCGGTTGAAGGTTTGGCGTTAAACAGGTACTTTAACAAACAACCCACCTTAAAGCCTGAACATCCTTGTCACAGGTATATCCTGGATAACCACTGGGTGGCCAGTGGCAACTGTTCTACATTGGTCAGTTCTGGACCAAACGGGCACCTGTTTAGACTGGTCGGTTACCGATGTACAACGCTACACTCGACAGATACAAACAGTTCACTTCCAAGCGTTTCTCTCCTGTCATTTACATCTGCAGCAGTTATCTCCCTTCGTCATGCATCCACTCGCTGTCATATCGGGACAATCACGATATATTTTCTCGGTAGAATATTGACATTGTAATTTAAATTGTTTGCAAATGTCAACCTTGATTTCGTATTAAGAAATCTAGGTCATCTGATAAATGATTAAACGTTTGAAATAAAAACGAGTTCAAAGAACGCATCAAGGATTTGAGATAAAGACATATCTTTTGAGACGAGACATGTCTGTGTAGAACGTCTATTGAGAAATGTGTACATGCTCTAAGGTATTTATTTCTTTTTAAGATTAACGAATCAAATACCTAAACCTAAACAGGATTTACAGATATTCTTTTTATAAAACTACTTTTCTAGTTAAGTACTGAAACCACAGCGCGAATCAATGATCACTTAAAGGGTGTTCAGTTTAACATTTGTAATTAATGTCACGTGTACAAGATGAAATTGTCTCTGGACATTATACCCAACACAGTTTTTCGCCAGCAAAGTGGAGGTAGAAAGTGGACTTGAGTGGTCAATACTCACCTGAATCTTTAAATATGTGGATATATGTACATTGTAGTGTTTGCAATAGGAACTTATTACAACTGCCTCTGGTATACCTCATCAGCATCTCAACCACTAACCCAATCCCACAACCCACAACCCACAACCCACAACCCACAACCCTACCCGGGTACATCATGGTGTAAGCACTATTACCTTCGTAAATAATCACGGGGAAATATTAAGGCCGGCGATAGACGGGATATAATTCAACTCCAGTAATCTGATAAGACTGGGTCATAAATCTCATATCTACTCGCTAAATGGGATTCCTGTGGTAAACAATTCATCTGACTCTCATCGTGGTATACAACGCTCCAAAATCAACACGCACCTGCGTCCTTCAGCTCCGTTTGTGTCCTGCGTTTTATCTCAAACACACATCCTGTTACAGTATTTCTACAACTGATGACAATATAGATGCGAACATTGGTCTAATAGAACTGGATACAGTTTCTTTGGGAATTCAAGCACACACACTCGCGCCCTCGCGCACACATTCATAAATAAACTTCGTGTCATCCACGACTCGAACTATCCGAGACTAGCAAATAACCAGATACCAAACTTTTACTTCGAGACATTCATACGTTCGACAAAACGGTGTTCGGGAATCTGATGGTCTGTGAGTGACTAGAGTGAGTGAGGCTGCATCACCAATAGTCCAGTTTGTCAGATCGATACTTATGGAAGAAAGAAGTGATGTAGATGTCAGACA